ATGGTTTGTTTAGATTTTGTTTTATTATTAAAATAAAAATAGATAAATAAAAATGATTTGTTTTTAACTAAATAATTTTATTTTAAAAAGATTTTAACAAAACCTTTTGACTTTTAACAGTTTCCTCTTTGATTTTTTCCTCGTCAAAGGCACGTAACGTGGCATCTTCTCCTTCCTTACTTCCCCTCTCTTCTCTAATCATCTCACTGTTACTGTTATTTTTTTGTGTATTTAAAGGGCACACAACACACAGAGGGAGGACAGTTCAGAGAGTTAGTAATTCACACCCTCACCTTTTTTTCTTCTCTCCCTCTATAAAACTGTCTTTTTCCTCCATAACCACCACTCCATCTCTTCTCCTTTCTTATCCCACCACCACATTTTCTCCTTCATACCCACGACCTCCGACGACACAAGCGAATGGTAGGACCTCCAATCACGAACTCCAACTTCTTCCAAGCCCGCTGCACTACGGTAACCTCCTTCCCGATGGTGTGCTTTAAGTGAGTAAAAAAATACATTGGAAAAAACTTTTTTATAATAAGAAACATTTTTTTTAAAGATAAAAGAAATTTTAAATATGTTTTTTAAAAGAAAATAAGGATTTTGATATTTTAAATTTTGTTTTAAAATAAAAAGGTTTTTCTTTTTCTAATAATGTAACGCCCCAGAACTTCCCACACACTTCTAGGTCACGTTAACTTCCCACCTGCCTAAACTTAACTCCAAACACGAGATGACAACTCCCTGTGAAATAATTATATAAAATAAAGCTTCAACTCTCATCAATTTACCAATGAATCAACTCTATAGAATATCAATCAAACATCATCCGTGGACAACCCCATGAGGCAACTTCATTATTCCAACTAGGCAAACTCAATGAATGGAAGAAAACTAAAATAAACACCTATTCCGAAATAAAATAAACAACGAGTGGGAACCTCCCAATTATTCAAATAAGAACAAGTAGTTTATTGACCAAACCATAAAGTCTTAACCATCTAAACCTAAGCTAAGCAAAAGTAACTACGCAGCCTATGGTCCTCGCTCGTCATGTCTCCTCCGTTTCATCACCATGGTCGCCAACGAATCCTACGCCTGAAACAATAATTGTAGAGGGGGGGTGAGTATATAAAATATACTCCGTAAGTAGCCCTCACCAACAACACACAAACATCATGCTCAAACAAAAATCATGAAACAATCATAGTCATGCTCTTCATCACATTATGCAATCAAACATAGACATGCTCTATAAGATCCGGCAATAACCACAACCATGGACAATTTAGTCACCAACCTCGAGGCTCCCTAACAACTCAAGCACCATCTATTGGCCCTTGACCATTTTTACCCAGGCCCCAATAGTTTTCCTTCCAAAAGACTCCTCGCATCGACCCTCGACCATTTTTACACGAGGCCTCGATACTCAATTAGTGACGTATCAGCCCTCGAGCATTTATACCCGAGGCCCTGACACTCACCCATTCACTTTCCCCAAGAATCCAACGTTTCTTATCATAACCAACTCCACATCAACCCCTAACCTGCGAACAGGGTCCGAAAATATGCTTCTATTACACCCACATCTCATAAGAAAATAATATGACTCAGACCAGCACGCTCGCATCATAAAGAAATGTTTATATAAACTATACAAGCACACCCACATCATAAGAAAGCATAATCACAATAATTCTATTTTAACGTGCATCCTTTGTAAACATACATCATCCCACAACAATTCTTAGCAGTTTAGCAAGG